CATTTTTGTCTCACCTAAATAAAATATGATTTCTTTCCAAATAAGTAATGTAGAGTGTCGAACATCGAACCCTCCTGGTAAGATCCCCGTTTCTTTTTCTTGTCTCCTTTTTGTTCAGGTTCTCTTTTGATTGTCTTTATTTCCTCAATTTTACAGCAATATTAACACAAAGCATCCAACTGATGGCTGTCAGAGGTAACCTGAGAGTCACGTTGTTGATAAAAGTCTTGCTGTCGGAGGCGATGAAAAACTGCAGAGTAAATTTGAAAGAGAGTAAAACCACTGACATTGAATAAAACCCACATCCATCAACTTTTCAATCGTGCACCACTGAGTCAGCCTTCTTCGATTTGCTCTGACACTACTGTGTCACACTGTTTCCACTGATGTTAACCTCACAGGACTTTCCATCACCCTTAGGAGCCAGCAGAGTGAAACAAATGGTTGTGAGGAAGATCTAGGAGCCGTTTGATGTCGCTTCCAGCTGCGTCATGAAGTCTTTCATCAAGCCTAAAGCAGGCGTAATAAAGCGGGCCGTTGAGTGTGATGATCCCCAATTCCTCAAATGTACTTGACCAACATGCACCTACTGCAGCACTCTTTATTGATTGATTGATTGATTTTTAAGGTAATGGCATCTGTAAGGCTCAGCACATGGCTTTAAATCCATGCCAATGGCCGGGGTGCTTCTCAGGAGTTACCATGGTGATGGAGCGGGAGAGCTTGATGATCACAGATAGATTAGGATCAGGGCTCCAAAGGTTGTGAGATAACATTATCAAATCTAGGTTATGTCACACAAAGATATTATATTAGTATTGTAATGAATGCGATCATACTTATGCTTGGCTAAATATTTCATAGTAACTGCAATTCATTGGAATGTCAGAGATTTTTCCTCACATAAGAGAATAATATACGGTAGGTGGGAGGAAAATATGGCTTCATCACAGCATTGCAATATTTCCCCTTGCAATTCAATATAGATTCAGCAACTTCCACCCACCACAATTCAATATTGATTCAGCAAATCCTCTGAATTGATTCACCCCAGGCCAGCGAGGGACACTTTGCATATGATTGGATGGCAGCTTCATTTAACACAACAACATGGCGACAAATGCAAGATTCAAGTTTAAATCTGACATTGAGGTCACTTTGGATTCCCCTGTAAATTGCCTGAAAACTCCTGGGAAGCTCTGTTTGCACACAGATGACAAGTGCATCTCCGGCGCTTTCATATGAAAGTACCGTTTTGTGGAAAACCAGCGGTTAAGAAGATGGTACAGACCCGCAAACCATCCATCCATTTTCTCATCCGTTTATCCTCATGAGGGTCGCGGGCGGGCTGGAGGCTATCCCAACTGTCTTCGGGCAGTAGGCGGGGTACACCCTGAACTGGTTACCAGTCAATCACAGGGCACACAGAGACGAACAACCATCCTCGCTCACACTCACACCTCGGAACATTAACCTGCCATGCATGTTTTTGGAATGTGGGAGGAAACCAGAGTACCCGGAGAAAACCCATGCAGGCATGGGGAGAACATGCAAACTCCACAGGAAGGCCAGTGCCGAAATCGAACCCTGCACTTCTGCACTGTGAGGCGGACATGCTGACCAGTCATCCACCGTGCCGCACGACAGGCAAACCAAGATAGGTACCAACATAAAAACATGTCAGAAGTCGCCATGCAGAAGCTGTACACAGCTGAAGACCAAATTTGGAATTGTTGATATCAGTACTGAGAGTGCCTCTATTTTGCTGGCAGTGAAGCCAAAAGTGAGGAGTTTTCCCTCAACAGCCAGATCTGACTATTAACAAATACATAAGGAAGCCTGTTGGGTCATGCAAAAGGTTGCATCAACATCAAGAAATCATCAGTCTTGGACTTTGATACCCGCAAGAAAAAGGAAACCGTATTGCACAAAATGAATGCGAAACACGGGCATTGAACTGAGAAACAGGTTTGCCTTGTTGTCATCTGACCAGCAAGCCTCGGTAGATCACAGCACCAGTGAAAGATATGAAAGTGGACATTTTTAAGCAAATGAGATCAGCTACTGGACCACCAACCGATAATAAGGCACCAAAGCCAGATCTGGCAAGAAACAGCTACTGTATGTAGCAGAAACAACACAAATGTTCTGTGTTTTGACAATGACATGGTGTGTGATATTTCAGAAAAAAGTTGAGAGGATCGCTAATGAGTAACTCCAACTGTCAAATCGGTTGAAATTCACACAGGAACATTTGATGTGTTGAAAAAAAAAGTCAGAGATACTCAGGCAAGACTTTGCTAACCTTCCACAAAAAAATCAGAGGTGAGCATTCCGTCACTACTTAGAGACTGTCCGTCAGTTCATCACTGACAGACGCCCCGTTTTGCTGACAAATGATGGAAAGTCCCGCCCGTCTCGTGTTTGTTCGTTCACTGGTGCGAGTACGGCGGGGTTGCTTGAGTAAACAGTATTGGCTATATAAGGAAATGCTTTGTGCTTTATATACAGTTCGTGGCGTTGTGCACAAAAGAGACAATCGTGCATTTGAATTCATTTTTATTAGTCATGTGTTAATTACAGTAAAAAAAAACAACAACAAAGTTAAGATAGACGGCACAAAAATGCAGATGCGTATGTTTTTACGTCGAGTGCAGTCTACTTTCTCTTACCAAATTATCAAGTGTACTGTGGGTGCGGCAGCTCCGTGAACAAAGCCCACTGAGGCGCATCGCAGTTCCAAACGGGATGTTAAGTTAGACTTGTCCCGGCATCAAAATGATGTGCCCATTTTTACGCCAAGCCAAAATAGGGCCCTATGTCTATAGATATGTTTATTTATTTGAGTTTGAAGTTATTTTCATTTGAGATTGATTGATTGATTTAATTCAAGCTGAATCTATTTGTATTTTATTCACACTATTAACTGTTTACTGTTAATTAAAGGTTGCCTTATGACATGCGGTGGTATGGTCATTTTGTACCTACGATACATGTGGAAAATAAGGTGGGTGGTGGTGGGGGGGGGGGGGATTCCAAAAAAAATTTCTCTTCGGGCCCCATTTGGTCTCAAGCAGCCTTGTTGGGTATGATAAGGCAAAATTAACTGTGGTGGATGTTTACAAATATTATTTGGTTTAAAACAATGAAAGAAAAGAATGTCCATGAAACTTCAGGCTCGTTTGAACATTTTAAAACGTTCTGCTTTTGTGTGATGACGAATGTGAAGTGAAAGTGGATGTGGGACCACATTCGCTTCGTGCTTACTAACAGCCTTGTGGTAAGAATGTCTTTATGCCATTCATACAATGAAACTGAAGATAGATTGTAGAATCTGAGGAACACATTTACCATTTCAAGACGACTCATTGGGAATCACCAAGGTAATAAGAAAAGAAAATGTTGAGCTTTTGAGCTGAGATAGTAGAACCAACCCAATAAAGAGCTCTTGGGTCTATCATGGTAGACAGCAGACTGGTCAAAGTAGAACAGTACATTTTTATTTACCTAAATTCTGCATTAAGGCATCTCACGACAGGCTTGGCCTTGGCTGCTGTCTTCGGAGACAACATGTTTTGCCTCAACACATAAATAATGCAACACTGGTGGTTTAGAATTGCTGGTGATTTATGAACAGCCCCCATAATTCAAAAGCAGTGCAGAAGCTGTGGTCATTATGTGTCTCTAGAGGACAACCGCTAACCCACATCCACTGTAACTACTTGCCTTTCAGGTGATTACAACGCAAGCAGAGTTTGTTGACTTTCAGCTCTTTTCTTCTCAGGCTCAAACAATTACGGCATCCTAATTATTTGTCACTTGAGCGCAAATCATTGTTTACTTTAAGGTTATTAAACAGATTTTCTGGGTTTTGGGGGGAAAACTGAGCCATGTACTTTTGATTAAATATTTCATTGTCATATCTGACACCGTAAAATTAGTCACTCAAGGTCTATGAGAAATTAGTCTATAATGAAAGGACACATACCAGCACTCCCACACACAGCTCATTGTATTTTATAGCTAATGAGAAGATAGTCGAAAAAGTAGGAACTGATTTGATAACTGCTGCTTTGCACATGACCCGGGATTCAAACAAAACAGCAAATTGATTTTCTTATTTCTAATCGTCTGTGTCATGTTTATCAAGATTGCAGATCCTCGTGATGTGATGTGCCCTCTTGACTACGGTTCAGTCGATTCAGCATCACAGTATCACATAAACGTAATCAGGTTATGGCATTGAACCTCAAGGCCTTATGCACCAGTGCCATAAGTGTCTTGGCTACTGTACATCATCCCAGAAGTATTACGTGGACTGTCATTCCCCCAGCACCCAATATTCTCACACAGTCAATTGGACTGCCAAGATGGTGCATAATAGACAGAACAGATGACGCGTTCATCGTCAGGTGTGACAGTGGCCATGCCGTGTCAAAAGATTTTGCTCCTGCTAAAATTCTGCAGCAGCAGCACATTTCAGTCTCCAGTGCATCAATTATAAATTACACTTCAACTTATGAGGACAGATAATTTAATCAAGGTCACTCGAGCAGTCTATAATATCCCATATTAGCAGCAGCGATGCTGCCATTTCTTTTTCTATAGTTGCTCACGCTGTTAAACTACACAAGAACCTGATTGCGCATTGAAATTATCCAGCCGCCTTAATCGACAGACCTGCAGTAAAATACGAATAAGGTGTTTTTATAACGTATAGCGTGTGATGTTATGGAACAAATGACCTCCGTTCTTTCTCACTTCCCTGCACCACCTAGATGTTGGATAGTCATCACACGTTTGCTATTAAACAAGCCATTCATTGAAGAAACATCGTTAGGTCACAGAAAGGCTGATGCAAATAGAGGTGTTTGACAGTAAACATACTGTGCACATAACCAATGAATGCACTTTAATTACGTCTAATGTGCAGTTACGGAAAGAGAATATTCCTTTCGGCTGCTTTACGGTGAAGAAAAATCTAAGAAAATGGCATTTACCTTATCTTGGTAGATGAAGAACAGCATGATGGACAGGATTTCCAAGAAGAAGATGAGCAGAAGAAGGATGAAAAACTGTGGACACACAAAGAGAAGTGTGAGGACAAGTAGGTCACAGTCAATGCCGTGTGGGGGCACGGGGGGTGGGGGGGGGGGCATCCAGAGTAGGGACCGCAGGCATCTGTGTTTGAAGAGTGAACAGAGTTTACATTTATGAGGAAGAAAACCAGCAGCGTGATGGACTCTTGAACCGCAAGAGAAAAGAAGGCAAGTGTCAAGTAGTCAGCAAAGTAGGAGCGACTGAAGCATAAAAAAAATAACCCGGCCTTGAAATACAACTGTTTTACTTTTTCTTTTTGCTCGTTTGAGAAATGTGAAAAGAGCGCCATCTTAGTCACCACCAGTCCCTGCCGATAGCATTCGTTCATATTACAGAAAAGATGAGTTGCTTGATGGCTGATATATCTTCTACCTGCGGGCGCGTGTGACTGCTTGAAACATTTCGGAGCACATCCATCAACCGCATACTCAGGATGGGCTTTAGAGCGATGCCGGGAGGTGTGAAACATTTCCCAAACGATAAAAAGTTCTAGACGGTCACAGAATGATGTCATTATCAGATTATAGATGTGATGGATCGGTTGCTCTTTCTTAGGAGGCATCTGTAGGAGCAAAGAGCTTTATTCATCTAAGTGTATTTATTTAAGTCTCCTGCCAACAGACAGATTACTTTATGGATAATATTTTATCATAAGTTAAAACATCGTCCCAATTTGTATCAAAGGCATGGCTGAGGGCTTAAAATGGGCAAAACAATGTCTGCCAAGGCATTCTGAACTGAAATCTGCTCTCTACTGTTGAAAAGCTCAGTGTCAGCCATGGGTCATTGCTCCTCCGACAAGATAATGTCACAAACACCCCCACAGAATGGCTCAGTACAAAATATGAAATACCGGACTAGTCTGAAGTGGCCTTTTATATGATAATGATCTGAATCCCATATGAGCAAGGAGTTGAAACATGCCGTCTGGAAAAGGCACACTTCGAACCTGAGACAGATGGAGCAGTTTGCTCCCGTGATAGAATTGATAGATTAGAGAATGGCAGACGGGTGAATGGACGGATGGATGAATGGATGTCTAGATAAGATTCGATAGATAGATAGATAGATAGATAGATAGATAGATAGATAGATAGATAGTTGTTTTCACACAGAAATAGAGAAATCCCAACACACTGCAATGTATCCTGTACCATTTTTGGCAATGCTAATAATAGTGGAACAGTACAGGGAATTGATTTTATAATAATGGAAACCATAGTGTGCAAGATAAAATTGTCTTGTGGAAAAAAGGGGTTGGTGTGTGCAAATGCCAAAGATGTCAGCGGCAACAACACTGATGGATGAGAAACTGACTGGGCGACACACTGATTGCAGCCCACACTGTGCACACTGCAGGTCCTTATGAATAAAATATGTGATTTTGTAAGGCTTTATTTACCATTCTCCTAAATTGATGGAGTTGGCAAGAAAAAAAAAAATCCCACTTCTGGATTGCCAGGTGGTTATTTAAGAAGGATAATATGCTCCTTTGTGACTTGGGAACATAACGTCTTGCAGAATATTTGCTTTGATGACATTTTATTGATCCCGACAGACGAGATTTATTTGGTAAACAGTAAATGACATGATGACACACTCTTGTTTGACTGCACTTTTCTGCCTGAACACTGAACATGAATTCTGACTCCCTCACATCTTTTGATGCGTGTCTTCGATAAAAGCATCAATTACACAAAAAGAAATAGTTTCACCATGTCTGTCTCGATTCACCCTTAAGAAAAACAAACATCTCTCTCCCTTGTGATTCTGTGAATATTTCACCCATTAATTTGGTCTTTATGAGAAGCTTAACTCATCTTCTTTCGACCACAGGCCTTTGCCGCAGTAAGTGGGATCATTTGATAGCGGACTAAATGTATCCTACTGTTATTGCTGTATATATCACAAGATAGCGATTGAATTACTGGGTGTACCTCAAGGAATCGTAAACTGACGGTTACTCTTATCAAACTGGATTGGATTGCTGCAATTAACTGAAAATTACCAAAATCCATTTTGGATCTCTGTAGAAAGGGTAATTATAATAAAACGAAAAACTGTGTTCCAATTTAGCCAACTGCAGGGGAATTGAATAGTTGTGTCCATTTAGGAATCCTAACGAATGTCAAATGAGGAGTGCAACTTTCCACTCAGGAATGTGTAGGATAAAACTGCACAGATTACAAATTTGTTGACCAACTGCTTTATAACTGTTTAACACTGTCCTGCAGGCCTTAAAGAGATAAAGCAAAGATCGGTAACCCAATCAATACAAGCAATTACAGTTAAGGGGAGCATGTTAAATACAACCCTGGTGCAAATTTATTTTCAATTTTATTGTTGGAGTCACATCGGAACCAACCAGACTGCAATTGACAGTCATGGGACATTGACTCTTCGTTAGACCAGAAAGTAGCCTGCAAATGAAATATGCTTTCAACAATGGTGAAAACATCCCCGCCCCCCCCCCAAAAAAATGGTAGGATCTTGTCATATAACGTCATCAATGTACCACATGCGTACTACTCTTTGTGTTATTGAGTCATCCTTGTTGATTATGTTGACAAATGGATGTTACACCAGTGTACAAAATGGAAATTTGACTTTTTAATGTCGTGCACACAAATAGTTGGGTCTCTGTGGTGCCTGCCCACAGACTCAGTGTGAAATCAAACAATCAAGTCAATCTTCAGTTATCTTGCCCATTTCTGAAGATGTGTCTTGTGAGCAAGCTGTTATTCTCTTCCATCCTGATGTCACCGTGGGGCTTTTGTGAATTACTCCATACCAAATATGGGGTGTTTTTAAATTAAAAAATAAAATCAAAGTGATGGGTTGGGTGGATGGAGTGATAGATAGATTCATCTCATGAGTGAAATTTGATTTAATAGCATTTTTCCAACCTTTCCATATTACCATTGTTTGTTACAAGTAAAAGTTACAAAAAGATGAGTTAGCTTCAATCCCACCATCTCATACACACACGCCTATACACACACGTGGGCACGCACAGGTTAATAATATTGATCTGATCCGTGACGTCAACGGCAAAAAACACATTCTTATTTGTATTTTGTTTTTTTTGTTTTTGAGAAATTTTGCAAATAATGGTGTGGGTCATTGATGACGGGAATTAGTTAAGTATTTACTTACAAGTTGTGGGCATTATATTATAGCCTGCCAGCCCCTCACCTGGATGAGTTTAAGAGCTTCGTGTTTCTTTTTAAATGTTATGTTCTTTGTAAATGTTACTTAAAATGAATGAAAAAAATCCTCACCAGTAGAAGTAGGCCGCTGGTCAACGTGAACACAAAATGAGACGGCAAAAGGAGATTCAGCCCATTGGATTATCAATCTCATGGAAGCAAGGCTCACTATTGACTCAGCAATAATGGGGCGGGATGAAGGCCGGCGCACTGCATGAGAATCATCCGTCCTTCCACCCATGATCTGATCCGCTCATCCTCACGAGGGTCGCGGGTGTGTTGGAACCTTTCCCAGCTGTCTTCGGGCAGCAAGCAGTGTACACCCTGAACTGGTTGCCAGCCAGTCACAGGGCACACATAGCTAAATAAACACTTGCACTCACAGTCACACCTAGGGACAATTTTAGAGCGTTCAATTAATCTACCATGCATGTTTTTGGAATGTGGGAGTACCCGTAGAACCCAGGCACGGGGAGAACATGCAAACTCCAGAAACGAAGGCCGGGGCCGGATTTGAATTCAGGATCTCTGCAGTGTGAGGTGGACATGCTAATCAATTGAACACCATGCCTCCCATGAGAAAAATCTGCCCCTAAGAAAACATAAATTCACCATATGGCAAAAAAAAAAAAAAATGGTGAAATGTACAGAATTCTTGGTTCTTATGGTATTTTGATGAAAACATGGCAGAGACATGTTCGAAAGACACCTGGGAATTGTTTTAAACTCTGAAAAAAAGATGCACAACTTAAAAGGCCATTTGTTGTCATCTACTGCCGCATTCTTGTCAAACTGGAAACTGTGGCCAAAAATTTAAAAAAAAAGTCCACCATGACTTGTTTGTTGTTTTATTATTTTACTTTTATCACGGTTCGTCCTTGAAATCTGTGCTCTATTAAGTGTGATGCTATCTGAAACTGAAATGGGTTTTTTGAGTTGCGGTGACAATAAAAATGGCTCCAAGAAAATGCACATATAGGGGCACTGCCTACATCACTTTACCCTGATCATGTAGGATCCACAGAGGTACAATACAGTAGAACCTTGCAGTTTACAAGTATTGTTTCTGTGCTTACAGTGAACGAATGAACAAATGATGAATGGCATTTTTATGATTGTGTCATGCATGCAATAGTACAGCCAGCCTGTGTGGACTTACAAGACACCAAACAATCAAATGATCTGGCACCAGGCCCAAAGCATAACAAAGACTTGTGTCCAGATCATCTTCTCTTGTGCTGTTTTCCAAGCTTTAGAAATAACATTTGTAATTACAAAAACATAAAAATCTAAAAGCTGTTAGAACTTTTCCTTATGTGGCCACTAAAATATGTCAGGGTTATTTTGTTTCATTAGACATGCACTCTCTTACAGCTGTTTTGTGGTTGTAGGGCACGGCTTACAAATCAGTGCCTCAAAGCAACTCGAGCAGTGCGATTAGCAGTGTTATTTCAACCTAACGTGGCTTAATTTGCAGAGCAACGACTTTGAAAGTCTACATGGGGATGTGCAATTAATTTTGCTAAGGGGCCACATGAGAAACTGTAACACTTGCCGTGGGCCAAGCCAACATTTTAACCTAAACTTTGTCAATATTATTATTATTGAATTGAGAAAAGGCTGTCTTGAATAGCCAATAAATTGCGATGTGTGCATTTTCAGTCTAATATGTAGCAGTGGCATCCCGTCAGGTTCTTCAAAGCCTTCTCTGCTGGCCTAAACATTATCAAACGCACCAGCCTGCATTGAAAAAGTTGGAGAAATGT